ATTCGAAATAGACAAGCGCTTTAATCAACTAAGCCATGGCGCCCTAGTCACGAACTTTGACCTTTCGTTTCGACCTCTCGGTACACTGTGTGGACATTATTACGATCCATAATAAGTGTCATAAGTTTCATCGACACAGTGATATTTCAATTTCCAAGCTATTTTTATTTTTAAAATGATAGCATGTTCCGATTTACTTGCATATCATCCACCAGCCTAAGGAGAATTTCCCAACCCTGGACGAGTACCAATCATGAGTGTCAATAATGTAATTATCAAACAAGGAATTGTTCAGTGAAGCACCTAAATAAAAAAGGCACCACTGAAATTCGAACTCAGGATTTCCTGTTTACTAAAAGGCGCTTTAACCAACTAAGCCATGGCGCCCTGGTCACGAATTTTGACCTTTCGTTTCTACCTCTCGGTACACTGTGTGGACATTATTACGATCCATATTAAGTGTCATACGTTTCATCGACACAGTGATATTCCAATTTCCACGTAATTTTTATTTTTATAATGATAGCATGTTCCGATTTACTTGCATGTCATCCACCAGCCTGAAGAGAATTTCCCAACCCTGGACGAGTACAAATAATGTAATTATCCAACAAGGAATTGTTCGGTGAAGCACCTAAATAAAAAAGGCACCACTGAGATTCGAACTCAGGATCTCCTGTTTACTAGACAGGCGCTTTAACCAACTAAGCCATGGCGCCCTGATCCCGAATTTTGACATTTCGTTTCGACCTCTCGGTGCACTGTATGGACATGATTACGATCCATAATAAGTGTCATAAGTTTCATCGACACAGTGATATTTCAATTTCCAAGCTATTTTTATTTTTAAAATGATAGCATGTTCCGATTTACTTGCATATCATCCACCAGCCTAAGGAGAATTTCCCAACCCTGGACGAGTACAAATAATGTAATTATCAAACAGGGAATTGTTCGGTGAAGCACCTAAATAAAAATAGGCCCCACTGAGAGTCGAACTCAAGATCTCCTGTTTATTAGACAGGCGCTTTAACCAACTGAGCCATGCCACCCTGGTCACGAACTTTGACCTTTCGTTTCTACCTCGCGGTACACTGTGTGGACATTATTACGATCCATATTAAGTGTCATACGGTTCATCGACACAGTGATATTCAAATTTCCAGGTAATTTTTATTTTTATAATGATAGCATGTTCCGACTTACTTGCATATCATCCACCAGCCTGAAGAGAATTTCCCAACCCTGGACGAGTACAAATAATGTAATTATCAAACAAGGAATTGTTCGGTGAAGCACCTAAATAAAAAAGGCACCACTGAGATTCGAACTCAGGATCTCCTGTTTACTAGACAGGCACTTTAACCAACTAAGCCATGGCACCCTGGTCACGAACTTTGACCTTTCGTTTGTAACTCTCGGTGCACTGTATGGACATGATTACGATCCATAAAAAGTGTCATAAGTTTCATCGACACAGTGATATTCAAATTTACAGGTAATTTTTATTTTTATAATGATAGCATGTTCCGATTTACTTGCATATCATCCACCAGCCTGATGAGAATTTTCTAACACTGGACGAGTACCAATCGTGAGTGTCAATAATGTAATTATCAAACAAGGAATTGTTCGGTGAAGCACCTAAATAAAAAGGGCACCACTGAGATTCGAAATCAGGATCTCCTGTTTACTAGACAGGCGCTTTAACCAACTAATCCATGCCGCCCTGGTCACGAATTTTGACCTTTCGTTTCTACCTCTCGGTACACTGTGTAGACATTATTACGATCCATATTAAGTGTCATACGTTTCATCGACACAGTGATATTCAAATTTCCAAGCTATTTTTATTTTTAAAATGATAGCATGTTCCGATTTACTTGCATATCATCCACCAGCCTAAGGAGAATTTCCCAACCCTGGACGAGTACAAATAATGTAATTATCAAACAGGGAATTGTTCGGTGAAGCACCTAAATAAAAATAGGCCCCACTGAGAGTCGAACTCAGGATCTCCTGTTTATTAGACAGGCGCTTTAACCAACTGAGCCATGGCACCCTGGTCACGAACTTTGACCTTTCGTTTCTACCTCGCGGTACACTGTGTGGACATTATTACGATCCATATTAAGTGTCATACGGTTCATCGACACAGTGATATTCAAATTTCCAGGTAATTTTTATTTTTATAATGATAGCATGTTCCGATTTACTTGCATATCATCCACCAGCCTGAGGAGAATTTTCTAACACTGGACGAGTACCAATCATGAGTGTCAATAATGTAATTATCAAACAAGGAATTGTTCGGTGAAGCACCTAAATAAAAAAGGCACCACTGAGATTCGAACTCAGGATCTCCTGTTTACTAGACAGGCGCTTTAACCAACTAAGCCATGGCGCCCTGGTCACGAATTTTGGCCTTTCGTTTCTACCTCTCGGTACACTGTGTGGATATTATTACGATCCATATTAAGTGTCATACGTTTCATCGACACAGTGTTATTCCAATTTCCAGGTAATTTTTATTTTTATAATGATAGCATGTTCCGATTTACTTGCATGTCATCCACCAGCCTGAAGAGAATTTCCCAACCCTGGACGAGTACAAATAATGTAATTATCCAACAAGGAATTGTTCGGTGAAGCACCTAAATAAAAAAGGCACCACTGAGATTCGAACTCAGGATCTCCTGTTTACTAGACAGGCGCTTTAACCAACTAAGCCATGGCACCCTGGTCACGAACTTTGACCTTTCGTTTCTAACTCTCGGTGCACTGTATGGACATGATTACGATCCATAATAAGTGTCATAAGTTTCATCGACACAGTGATATTTCAATTTCCAAGCTATTTTTATTTTTAAAATGATAGCATGTTCCGATTTACTTGCATATCATCCACCAGCCTAAGGAGAATTTCCCAACCCTGGACGAGTACAAATAATGTAATTATCAAACAGGGAATTGTTCGGTGAAGCACCTAAATAAAAATAGGCCCCACTGAGAGTCGAACTCAGGATCTCCTGTTTATTAGACAGGCGCTTTATCCAACTGAGCCATGGCACCCTGGTCACGAACTTTGACCTTTCGTTTCTACCTCGCGGTACACTGTGTGGACATTATTACGATCCATATTAAGTGTCATACGGTTCATCGACACAGTGATATTCAAATTTCCAGGTAATTTTTATTTTTATAATGATAGCATGTTCAGACTTACTTGCATATCATCCATCAGCCTGAAGAGAATTTCCCAACCCTGGACGAGTACAAATAATGTAATTATCCAACAAGGAATTGTTCGGTGAAGCACCTAAATAAAAAAGGCACCACTGAGATTCGAACTCAGGATCTCCTGTTTACTAGACAGGCGCTTTAACCAACTAAGCCATGGCGCCCTGGTCACGAATTTTGACCTTTCGTTTCTACCTCTTGGTACACTGTGTGGATATTATTACGATCCATATTAAGTGTCATACGTTTCATCGACACAGTGTTATTCCAATTTCCAGGTAATTTTTATTTTTATAATGATAGCATGTTCAGATTTACTTGCATGTCATCCACCAGCCTGAAGAGAATTTCCCAACCCTGGACGAGTACAAATAATGTAATTATCCAACAAGGAATTGTTCGGTGAAGCACCTAAATAAAAAAGGCACCACTGAGATTCGAACTCAGGATCTCCTGTTTACTAGACAGGCGCTTTAACCAACTAAGCCATGGCACCCTGGTCACGAACTTTGACCTTTCGTTTCTAACTCTCGGTGCACTGTATGGACATGATTACGATCCATAATAAGTGTCATAAGTTTCATCGACACAGTGATATTTCAATTTCCAAGCTATTTTTATTTTTAAAATGATAGCATGTTCCGATTTACTTGCATATCATCCACCAGCCTAAGGAGAATTTCCCAACCCTGGACGAGTACAAATAATGTAATTATCAAACAGGGAATTGTTCGGTGAAGCACCTAAATAAAAATAGGCCCCACTGAGAGTCGAACTCAGGATCTCCTGTTTATTAGACAGGCGCTTTAACCAACTGAGCCATGGCACCCTGGTCACGAACTTTGACCTTTCGTTTCTACCTCGCGGTACACTGTGTGGACATTATTACGATCCATATTAAGTGTCATACGGTTCATCGACACAGTGATATTCAAATTTCCAGGTAATTTTTATTTTTATAATGATAGCATGTTCCGATTTACTTGCATATCATCCACCAGCCTGAGGAGAATTTTCTAACACTGGACGAGTACCAATCATGAGTGTCAATAATGTAATTATCAAACAAGGAATTGTTCGGTGAAGCACCTAAATAAAAAAGGCACCACTGAGATTCGAAATAGACAGGCGCTTTAATCAACTAAGCCATGGCGCCCTGGTCACGAACTTTGACCTTTCGTTTAGACCTCTCGGTACACTGTGTGGACATTATTACGATCCATAATAAGTGTCGTAAGTTTCATCGACACAGTGATATTTCAATTTCCAAGCTATTTTTATTTTTAAAACGATAGCATGTTCCGATTTACTTCCATATCATCCACCAGCCTAAGGAGAATTTCCCAACACTGGACGACTACCAATCATGAGTGTCAATAATGTAATTATCAAACAAGGAATTGTTCGGTGAAGCACCTAAATAAAAAAGGCACCACTGAGATTCGAACTCAGGATCTCCTGTTTACTAGACAGGCGCTTTAACCAACTAAGCCATGGCGCCCTGGTCACGAATTTTGACCTTTCGTTTCTACCTCTTGGTACACTGTGTGGATATTATTACGATCCATATTAAGTGTCATACGTTTCATCGACACAGTGTTATTCCAATTTCCAGGTAATTTTTATTTTTATAATGATAGCATGTTCCGATTTACTTGCATGTCATCCACCAGCCTGAAGAGAATTTCCCAACCCTGGACGAGTACAAATAATGTAATTATCCCAACAAGGAATTGTTCGGTGAAGCACCTAAATAAAAAAGGCACCACTGAGATTCGAACTCAGGGATCTCCCTGTTTACTAGACAGGCGCTTTAACCAACTAAGCCATAGCGCCCTGATCACGAACTTTGACCTTTTGTTTCTAACTCTCGTGCACTGTATGGACATGATTACGATCCATAATAAGTGTCATAAGTTTCATCGACACAGTGATATTTCAATTTCCAAGCTATTTTTATTTTTAAAATGATAGCATGTTCCGATTTACTTGCATATCATCCACCAGTCTAAGGAGAATTTCCCAACCCTGGACGAGTACCAATCATGAGTGTCAAAAATATAATTATCAAACAAGGAATTGTTCGGTGAAGCACCTAAATAAAAATAGGCACCACTGAGAGTCGATCTCAGGATCTCCTGTTTATTAGACAGGCGCTTTAACCAACTAAGCCATGGCACCCTGGTCACGAAATTTGACCTTTCGTTTCTACCTCGCGGTACACTGTGTGGACATTATTACGATCCATATTAAGTGTCATACGTATCATCGACACAGTGATATTCAAATTTCCAGGTAATTTTTATTTTTATAATGATAGCATGTTCCGATTTACTTGCATATCATCCACCAGCCTGAGGAGAATTTTCTAACACTGGACGAGTACCAATCATGAGTGTCAATAATGTAATTATCAAACAAGGAATTGTTCGGTGAAGCACCTAAATAAAAAAGGCACCACTGAGATTCGAACTCAGGATCTCCTGTTTACTAGACAGGCGCTTTAACCAACTAAGCCATGGCACCCTGGTCACGAACTTTGACCTTTCGTTTCTAACTCTCGGTGCACTGTATGGACATGATTACGATCCATAATAAGTGTCATAAGTTTCATCGACACAGTGATATTTCAATTTCCAAGCTATTTTTATTTTTAAAATGATAGCATGTTCCGATTTACTTGCATATCATCCACCAGCCTAAGGAGAATTTCCCAACCCTGGACGAGTACAAATAATGTAATTATCAAACAGGGAATTGTTCGGTGAAGCACCTAAATAAAAATAGGCCCCACTGAGAGTCGAACTCAAGATCTCCTGTTTATTAGACAGGCGCTTTAACCAACTGAGCCATGCCACCCTGGTCACGAACTTTGACCTTTCGTTTCTACCTCGCGGTACACTGTGTGGACATTATTACGATCCATATTAAGTGTCATACGGTTCATCGACACAGTGATATTCAAATTTCCAGGTAATTTTTATTTTTATAATGATAGCATGTTCCGACTTACTTGCATATCATCCACCAGCCTGAAGAGAATTTCCCAACCCTGGACGAGTACAAATAATGTAATTATCAAACAAGGAATTGTTCGGTGAAGCACCTAAATAAAAAAGGCACCACTGAGATTCGAACTCAGGATCTCCTGTTTACTAGACAGGCGCTTTAACCAACTAATCCATGACGCCCTGGTCACGAATTTTGACCTTTCGTTTCTACCTCTCGGTACACTGTGTGGACATTATTACGATCCATATTAAGTGTCATACGGTTCATCGACACAGTGATATTCAAATTTCCAGGTAATTTTTATTTTTATAATGATAGCATGTTCCGATTTACTTGCATATCATCCACCAGCCTGAGGAGAATTTTCTAACACTGGACGAGTACCAATCATGAGTGTCAATAATGTAATTATCAAACAAGGAATTGTTCGGTGAAGCACCTAAATAAAAAAGGCACCACTGAGATTCGAAATAGACAGGCGCTTTAATCAACTAAGCCATGGCGCCCTGGTCACGAACTTTGACCTTTCGTTTCGACCTCTCGGTACACTGTGTGGACATTATTACGATCCATAATAAGTGTCATAAGTTTCATCGACACAGTGATATTTCAATTTCCAAGCTATTTTTATTTTTAAAACGATAGCATGTTCCAATTTACTTGCATATCATCCACCAGCCTAAGGAGAATTTCCCAACACTGGACGACTACCAATCATGAGTGTCAATAATGTAATTATCAAACAAGGAATTGTTCGGTGAAGCACCTAAATAAAAAAGGCACCACTGAGATTCCAACTCAGGATCTACTGTTTACTAGACAGGCGCTTTAACCAACTAAGCCATGGCGCCCTGGTCACGAACTTTGACCTTTCGTTTCTAACTCTCGGTACACTGTGTGGACATTATTACGATCCATATTAAGTGTCATACGTTTCATCGACACAGAGATATTCAAATTTCCAGGTAATTTTTATTTTTATAACGATAGCATGTTGCGATTTACTTGCATATCATCCACCAGCCTGGGGAGAATTTTCTGACACTGGACGAGTACCAATCATGAGTGTCAATAATGTAATTATCAAACAAGGAATTGTTCGGTGAAGCACCTAAATAAAAAAAGGCACCACTGAGATTCGAACTCAGGATCTCCTGTTTACTAGACAGGCGCTTTAACCAACTAAGCCATGGCGCACTGGTCACGAATTTTGACTTTTCGTTTCTACCTCTCGGTACACTGTGTGGACATTATTACGATCCATATTAAGTGTCATACGTTTCATCGACACAGTGATATTTCAATTTTCAGGTTATTTTTATTTTTAAAATGATAGCATGTTCCGATTTATTTGCATATCATCCACCAGCCTAAAGATAATTTCCCAACCCTGGACGAGTACCAATCATGAGTGTCAATAATGTAATTATCAAACAAGGAATTGTTCGGTGAAGCACCTAAATAAAAAAGGCACCACTGAGATTCGAAATAGACAAGCGCTTTAATCAACTAAGCCATGGCGCCCTAGTCACGAACTTTGACCTTTCGTTTCGACCTCTCGGTACACTGTGTGGACATTATTACGATCCATAATAAGTGTCATAAGTTTCATCGACACAGTGATATTTCAATTTCCAAGCTATTTTTATTTTTAAAATGATAGCATGTTCCGATTTACTTGCATATCATCCACCAGCCTAAGGAGAATTTCCCAACCCTGGACGAGTACCAATCATGAGTGTCAATAATGTAATTATCAAACAAGGAATTGTTCAGTGAAGCACCTAAATAAAAAGGCACCACTGAAATTCGAACTCAGGATTTCCTGTTTACTAGACAGGCGCTTTAACCAACTAAGCCATGGCGCCCTGGTCACGAATTTTGACCTTTCGTTTCTACCTCGCGGTACACTGTGTGGACATTATTACGATCCATATTAAGTGTCATACGTTTCATCGACACAGTGATATTCCAATTTCCAAGCTATTTTTATTTTTAAAACGATAGCATGTTCCGATTTACTTGCATATCATCCACCAGCCTAAGGAGAATTTCCCAACACTGGACGACTACCAATCATGAGTGTCAATAATGTAATTATCAAACAAGGAATTGTTCGGTGAAGCACCTAAATAAAAAAGGCACCACTGAGATTCCAACTCAGGATCTACTGTTTACTAGACAGGCGCTTTAACCAACTAAGCCATGGCGCCCTGGTCACGAACTTTGACCTTTCGTTTCTAACTCTCGGTACACTGTGTGGACATTATTACGATCCATATTAAGTGTCATACGTTTCATCGACACAGCGATATTCAAATTGCCAGGTAATTTTTATTTTTATAATGATAGCATGTTCCGATTTACTTGCATATCATCCACCAGCCTGGGGAGAATTTTCTGACACTGGACGAGTACCAATCATGAGTGTCAATAATGTAATTATCAAACAAGGAATTGTTCGGTGAAGCACCTAAATAAAAAAAGGCACCACTGAGATTCGAACTCAGGATCTCCTGTTTACTAGACAGGCGCTTTAAGCAACTAAGCCATGGCGCCCTGGTCACGAATTTTGACCTTTCGTTTCTACCTCTCGGTACACTGTGTGGACATTATTACGATCCATATTAAGTGTCATACGTTTCATCGACACAGTGATATTTCAATTTTCAGGTTATTTTTATTTTTAAAATGATAGCATGTTCCGATTTATTTGCATATCATCCACCAGCCTAAAGATAATTTCCCAACCCTGGACGAGTACCAATCATGAGTGTCAATAATGTAATTATCAAACAAGGAATTGTTCGGTGAAGCACCTAAATAAAAAAGGCACCACTGAGATTCGAAATAGACAGGCGCTTTAATCAACTAAGCCATGGCGCCCTGGTCACGAATTTTGACCTTTCGTTTCTACCTCTCGGTACACTGTGTGGATATTATTACGATCCATATTAAGTGTCATACGTTTCATCGACACAGTGTTATTCCAATTTCCAGGTAATTTTTATTTTTATAATGATAGCATGTTCCGATTTACTTGCATGTCATCCACCAGCCTGAAGAGAATTTCCCAACCCTGGACGAGTACAAATAATGTAATTATCCAACAAGGAATTGTTCGGTGAAGCACCTAAATAAAAAAGGCACCACTGAGATTCGAACTCAGGATCTCCTGTTTACTAGACAGGCGCTTTAACCAACTAAGCCATGGCGCCCTGATCACGAATTTTGACCTTTCGTTACTACCTCTCGGTACACTGTGTGGATATTATTACGATCCATATTAAGTGTCATACGTTTCATCGACACAGTGTTATTCCAATTTCCAGGTAATTTTTATTTTTATAATGATAGCATGTTCCGATTTACTTGCATGTCATCCACCAGCCTGAAGAGAATTTCCCAACCCTGGACGAGTACAAATAATGTAATTATCCAACAAGGAATTGTTCGGTGAAGCACCTAAATTAAAAAGGCACCACTGAGATGCGAACTCAGGATCTCCTGTTTACTAGACAGGCGCTTTAACCAACTAAGCCATGGCGCCCTGATCACGAATTTTGACCTTTTGTTTCGACCTCTCGGTGCACTGTATGGACATGATTACGATCCATAATAAGTGTCATAAGTTTCATCGACACAGTGATATTTCAATTTCCAAGCTATTTTTATTTTTAAAATGATAGCATGTTCCGATTTACTTGCATATCATCCACCAGTCTAAGGAGAATTTCCCAACCCTGGACGAGTACCAATCATGAGTGTCAAAAATATAATTATCAAACAAGGAATTGTTCGGTGAAGCACCTAAATAAAAATAG